TGATGCTTCTGATGAATTACGTCCAGGCTTGTCAAACAATAGGAATTATTTCCCTGCAAGGCAAAAAAAAAGTCAGATTTTTATTCATGTTTTAGTATTTCCATTGATTCAAAACATAGAAAAATCAATATACACGCACAGACACAAAACGTCATATCTTCTCGTAGTGAATAGAAGTGCAAACACGCTCTGCCAGCTCAGCTGTGGTGTTTGACACCACCCACACCTCAGTGGCCCCTTTTTGTCTGCATTTGTAGTCTGGGCAGTGGGTTTTGTTTCCCTGCTTGTTTCTCCTCCTCTGCCTTTCTCTTTCATCATTCAGCCGGAGAAAAAGAGAAAGAACTGGGGTGGGGAGAACAAGAGTGTATAACAGAAGTTGTCTATTACAAATCCAACTGGAACAAAAATTTTCTGCTGCAGATCACTTCAAAACAGATGTTTCTTTCATAATCATGCAATCAGGAGGAAAACGCAGAAAAAGGAAGTGATCGCATCCTCCTGAATGTTACGAGTTTTGTAGCATTCAAAAAGACACATTTTTTGTTTTGAAAGAATTGAAAATGTGTCAAGCTGCTCTAGCTATTAATCCACGCATCCAGCCTGAACTGGGATTGAAGTGATAAGCAGCTCGATATCAAGTCTGTACTGGTTTCTTGGCAATAGTTTAATGCTTATCTTGGACATGATTAATGAAAAATACTATTAAGAATAATCACTTTGCACCACACCCTGAGCTGACTTCCACCCTGTCCTGAGAAGCCGCTCTGTGCAGCAGCCAAGGTCTTATCCAGGCCCCTCAGGCAGCAACACCCTGGCAGGGCCCAACAAGGACCTCAGGAAGAGCAGTAGCCTCTCCTCTTCCAGCAAAAGTTTGATTTTTCCTGTATTTTTTTTCTTTTCCGTACATGCCAGTGAGATGCAGCCCTCCTGCAACCCACCAGGCAATACCCTGTTGCTCAGCTGCCCTGTACTTGCTGAGAGGGCTCTTTTGCAGCAGTGAACCTGGGCTGAAGAGGGCAATGAGGTGACATGACACCCAAAACCTGCTGCTTTGGTCTCCCAAGCAGCGAGGTTCCTATGAGCAGGTGCAGGTCAGTAGCAGCAAGGACTCTGGTGGTAATGTCAGCTGAGGAGCAGCAGTGCTGTGCCTTCTGCTCCTCTGCATCTGGTCCGTTCTGAAGCATTTAATGGTGATTACCCAGAATCAATTAATTAACTAATTAATTAAAAAGGTCTCCAGCTCTGCAAAACCATCTTCCAGTGTGCCAGTTAGATCCAGAGCATGGAGCTGGCATCGCATTTGGCATGGGGTGAGCCAGCCAGCAGCACCAATGAGATGGGGAGAGGGTGGCTGAGAGGCTCCACCAGCACAAAACCCACACTGGGGCCAGTCAGCACCGCTCAGACATAGGCGGGCAAGGGACTGGGCTGGATAGAAGCAGTGGGGAAAAATGGGGTTGTATGAGTGGATTGGGTGGAGACTATCCACCCAATAGATTGGGTGGGTTAAGTAAAAGGTGTATTTCATCCCTTGGGAAAATCAGCCTGCCCTCTCCTCATCCCCTCCAGAGCAAGCAGCAGGGAAAGGCAGGGCCTCTCCTGCCCCAATGAGCAGCCAGAGACTGCAGCCGTACCCCTTCAAACCCACAGCTATCAGGGTCTGCAGAAACTGGGCATTTTGGGGACCAGGAAGATCCACTGCCCACAGGTTTGGGGCCAGGAGTGGGGCTATGGTGCTGGGTGGGTTTCTACACCCTTCACAGTGTATGGAGAAAGGAGAGATTAGGGCACAGAGGCTAAATAAATCCTTTTACCTCTTGGTAGAAACCACTTCAAAAGCTTTCCTGTGCTTGGTCTGACTTTGATAGGGTGTTTTGGTCCATATTAGAAATTTTTAGAAATTATAACTTCTATAAAACTAACTAGGCTGTTCCATTAGGGCCACTGGCTCCATATTCTCATGTGGTTAATAGCGTTGCATAGAAGTGTCTTGTTACAAGGTTTGTGAAGGTCCCATTGGGTCATGAGGGCCAACCTGTCAGCAGCTAGCTCCATCAGACACCACTGCAATCAGTGCCCTGAAAATCCAAGCTGCTACTTCCACCTGGCACAGGCAGAGGACCTATAAGGCTACTGCAAACTTGGCCATTCACCACCTGACCACAATACCTACCTGTTGTGTTACTAAAAGGAAGGGAAAACAAATACAGTATTGACATTACCAGTTGAACCACCTCCTTAGAAGAGAGGCTGCTCTCAGAAGCACAGCCCCTCTCACAACATACAGAAATCCACAGTTTCCCAGCTGCCATTTCAGGCTAGCTCAGAGGTACGTGTACTCATTTTTTAAGCTTTGTTTTCAGTGCCATGAACAGGACCAAGTATTTCCTACACACATCATCTGTGCTTGGGACAGCCCAGCCCGAGCAAAAATGCTTGAGGGAACGAGGAGGCTCAGACCCTGGGGGCAAGTGCGAATGCCAGCAGCAAGCTGGAGGTGGGTATGATGGAGCAGCTCCCACTCTTTGAATAAAAAGTTGCTTTTATAACACTTCAAGGGCATGCAGGTGTGATATGCTGTAAGGAAACACAATTACACATGCTGTTCCTAAGGAAGGATAAACATTGCTTTACCTGTGCCTAAACTACACAAAAGCGCAAGGACAACACAGCCGTCAAGGCATCATTAATAGAAAAGAAACCCTGCTATCCATGTAGTGGGGTTTTTGTGCCAGAGCACAGGGTTTGCAGTGGGAAAGGTCTGGTTACCAGCCCAGAGGCTGAAGCCCTCTCCTTTCTGTGGGTCGCCATAGGGCAGTGCAGACTGAGGTGCCGGGAGATGGGAGTCTGGGTCTCTGCTCTTAAAATTACAAAGGAAAATTGAAGACCGAAGGCAGGCAATTAAAATATTAAAGATATTGAAGGATATGTGTTTTATGTATTATGTAATGAAGATAAAGACAGATTGCCGGCATTTAATTTTGGTACCATCCGGGGAATAGCTGGGCAGGGAGCAATGTGAACACAAATAGCGTTGAGGAGCTACTGGCAGGAAACAGTAGGAAGGGCTGATTTCTGCAGAGGGGGAAGGAGAACCTTACTGGCAATAGGAAATGCCAGGGATGAACTTCCGGATGTGGGAAGCAGTTAATACTGGTGTTTAGCTCTGGTATGGCTCTTTCCACCATCATATTTCAAAGAGCTTTATACTGGAGTGTACAGCCAGCTGTGAACATGGCACGATGTGGGGCTGTGTGGTGAACGCACTCGCTGGCGCACCAGCACTGCCCAGCCCCTCTCATTTGCAGTGCTGGCAGGGTTCATTACATCCCCCTTCCCTCTCAGCAGGGCTCATTATCCTCCTCTGTCTGTGCTGCGCCCTGTAGACAAACCCTAAATGTCACTATCTCCATTTTGCATGCAGGGACACACCGGAAGATGAAGCAACCTCTCACAAGGGTATGGAGTCGAGGAGAGACCACAGATCTCACAAGTGCCACAACTAACAAGCACCTGTGCTTGAAAGACCTGCCTTGCGCTGTTAGGATTGCCCTCCTCTGGCAGCCCCCCCGGAAAGCGAGGGGTGATTGCGGACCCCAGCATGCACCCCTGCAGCTCACCTGTCCCTTAATCCCATCAGACTGCAGTTAAATGCTGGAGGGGATAATAAAGGATGGATATGATGCACCTTCTTTTCCTTTAAAAAATGTGCTAGAAAATGGCTTGTCCACATGGTGTGAATGGTCCAGCCGGGGGGACAAGGAGTCTCAAAAGCCTGAGCCTGCTCCTCACTGCTCCCGCGGTGAGATACGGCCCAGGAGAGCCTCTCGCATCAATCAAAACATGACAGCTGGGGAGAGGAGAGGAGCAAAGCCTGGTGCCACTGCAGCAGCACACTACGTGCTGTACTGTCTGGGGCCAGGGTACAACAAGGGATTCCCCTTCAAGGTCTGCGTTCCCGGCCTCGAGCAGTTTCCTGCAGCAGCCTGCCAGGGCCATACCTGCACCCCAGCTGCTCCGGGCCCAGGAAAGGCGTAGTCCTATGCCTGGCATCCAGGCCAGGACAAGTAACCAGTAGTTTCTGTAACTTTCAAGTCTTCGGCCTAATGTGAACAGCTTTTGGGTGTGATTGAAGTAGTTTCTAAGCACATTCGAAACTTCTGGCAAGCTCCCACGTTAGCCCTGTCCCTTTCTCAAGTTTCTCTCCAGTGCCAGCACCATCAGGAAAAGGTATTCAAAAGCATGCAAGTCTTGCTGAAAAGCCCCATTTTTTAAGAGCAGCTTTAAAGACGAGCTGTTACGTCAGCTGGGGTGTTTTGGAAAGCTTCATGCTATCCCGCTTTCCATGGCATGAAACACTGCGGTGCACTTGCTTTTAAACAACGCTGTTTTCAAGGAACAAAACGGCAATGATTCCACCTGACAGTCTTTTCAGCACTGCTGTGAGAAGGGGAAACTGAGCCAAGAAAGCATCCGAGAAGTCAAGGAAAGCACTGTCGCAAGTCGCCAGGAATAAAGCAATGCTAAGGGTCTGGCTTCTGGTAAAATGCAGTTTTCTGCCACACTATTATTCCTTCCAAATCAGTTTTTACTAAGTGTCCAGCACGTGCCCTTTGCTTCAGCGACAGGATATCCTTCATTTGTCTGCACAAAGTGCAGATGAGCACTTCTTCGTGTTGTTTTCCAAGTCGGCTGATGGGAGGGTCAACAGGGGCCGAAGCAGCTGCACCAAGTAAAGGAAAGGTAACCATGGCAACCCAAGTTATCTGCATCCTCCATGTATTTCCTTCTCCCCACCCTACATCATATCTTTCCCACCCAAACCTCAAGCCAATAGAGCCAGTGACCAGCTGGCAGGATGGGGACTGCAGCAGGGTCTCCCGCGCCCAGCATGTCTTGCCGTGTTTTGGGGTTCACCGCTGCAGGCTGAGGTCATCAAAAAGAGATCGAAAGCATAGAGAGGGGTAACTTGCAAAAGGCAGAGCTCTCCGCTACTGTAGATGGGGCGCTGGATGTGTTGCCTTTGCTCCAGAGTTGCAGATTCGTTGATGCTGCTCCTGGTTTTGGCTCTGAGCTGTAACCCTTCCACAGCAGCAACAGCTTCTCCATCTGCGCCCCACATCAAACCCAGCTACAGTTTTGGCCGGACTTTCCTGGGACTTGATAAATGCAACGCCTGCATTGGGACATCCATTTGCAAGAAATTCTTTAAGGAAGAAATAAGGTCAGAAACTCAGCACAGTAATTTTTAAAGCATTCTGCATAGTAACTTGAAAGTTGCCTGTTAGTATTTCCAAGTACTTTAATGAACAGCAATGGAAAGAGTAACTTAGCACCTGGTTGCCACTACAGTGCCTAGTATTTTAATTAATGTCTATAAGCTGCTGCTTTGTCTCTGCTTTCTTTTAAAGCCACACAAACATGATCAGACTTCAGCCCTGAATTATAATTTGAAAGCAGGAGTAAAAGGTACAACTTTCTGCATAGAGAGAGGCTACAACACAATTCAAGGCAGTGATGGGGGAAGGGAAAAGGGAAGAAAGAAATCAGCTTGTTTAGATGTACTGGAAGTATTTTATTATGAGCAACTGAGTAAAGGCAGAGGGGGGTTAGCTTTGTATGCTTCCAACAGACTATGTTAACTACAAACATATAAACATGCTATATAATTTTGTACCAGGTGCAACAACACAAATGTGCAGAATTTCACGTGTGTATTAACTAAGATCAAAAGCAATCTAAACCTGCCTGAGGCATGAGGACTTTTGCACATCGGGTTACCTACACGCTCGAAAATAGAGAGGGCTAAATTATTAGTATGCTTTCGAAGGTTTCTGTGAGAACTTGAAGACAGAGGCAGAAATTTCATCTGCCTCAAAGTTGACAAGACATATGCTGCCCAAGTGGTCATTGGACCGATCCAATCAGTTTTAGGCTCAAAAGCAGAGCGTATCTGACGACAACAGGGAAAATGTTGCCAGAGTATTTGAGGATAAAGTTAAAGGCAGTGCTTGTCAGAGAAAGAGTTTATTGGGTCTGATATGATTTATAGAGCCATATGCACTTTCTTTTATAGATATAAAAGCCTGGGGGAGAAGAAATTATTATAGTTAAATTGTATTTTTAATGCTATAATGTGAGTAGTATAATATTGGACAAATCACAATTTTTATCTTAAACTATGCTATAAAATGGAGCATAGTAAAACCGTAATGGTTTGTCTGGAATGGACTTGTAATACCGAAGATCCATCCTTCCCTTGCTGCTGTTGGAAAAAGGCAACTTGTGGCTGTGCTAGGCCAGGGGACCCCTTGCTGTGGCACACCAGCGGTCCCAGTCCTTGGGGCTTTGCCCTCTTAGCTTTCTGTCTCCTCCGGCTCATGTCGAGGGCAACACCAGGGCATGCAGAAAGTAAGGTGCAGAGGCACTAAGAAGGGCCAGGCCAGAAATGCTGGATTTCTCCCAGTCCAGCCTGGGCTCCTGTCCCGAAAAGCAGGATGGATATGCAATCAGTTGTGTTCAGATGGCTGACACGGGCTGCTGTGGGTCTGCAGGCGCTGCGGGTGCGTTCGGGGTACAGGCTGCCCTACATTTTATTCTCTGCAGCAGGGTGGCATGGGAGCTGCCTCCTGCCCCATGTCCCAGCCTGCTGCAGCCCCTTTGCCACTCACCCATGCAGGGCTTTTGGGGACCCACCGCCGGGTAGAAAGCAGCTTCTGCACATGCAGCTTGTTGCAGGTGCACCGTTTCTGTTACTCCCACTCAGCCACTGGGGAGGCTGGGGCCGTGCAGCTTCCTTCAGTCCCGCCAAAAATAGCAGTAGCCTTCTGCAGCGAGCAATTGCCTCTGGTTGGCCGGTGGCCAGCTGCATGCTACACTGGGGTGCACAAAAGAGGTGCCACGTGAGCTAAAACTGGAGGCCCCCACGCTGGCTTTCCTTTCAGGGGACAGCAGGAAAAGGGTGCGGGTGTGCAGAGGGTCCGAGTGGGGTCTGGGAGGTCAGAGCCAAAAATGTGTGGGAGCACGAGGCTTCTGTCTCAGGAAGGCAGAGGGGCTTCCTAAACCAGAGACTTTTTTTCTCTCTCTTGGAAGCCTGCAGTTGGCTTCCCCCAAGTAGTGCAGCGCACAAATAAGGGATAACATACAGTTCTGCTCTGAGCGCTTTTGGAAAGGGTAGGTTTTAAAAATGTTCTCCTCAGCAGTCAGTCAGCTTCAGGCTTTTCTTTGCAGGGGTTAAACTTGTTCTCCCACTTGAGTTCTTGAACAGCTGGGATTTTTTGGCAAGTGGAAGCTTAAACTGGGGAAATTTCAGTGGCACTTACGCTCTTTGATCCACCCCCATGTACCTTTTCACATGTTCACAAAGGTGGATGGCACTTGATGCTTCTCTGTGTTAATCTTCATTAGAACATGCTTCATTAATTCTCCATCATTTCCGGGAGCTGTGACATGCATTCACACTTAACTAACGAGTAAGAAGATGTGGGTTTTGTTCCCAGAACGGCTGGTGACTCATCTTGTGCTCTAATGTTTGTTACTTCCCTTATCTTTGCCCAACTTTATCCATCTGTAAATGAGGATACCAAAGCCTGACTACCAACTGTCCTGAGAGCAGAGCGCAGCAAAAGTTTTCGTAAAATATTAGATTTTCAAAATACTGAGAAACAGAGCTGACCAAAACTATTTGCAGACTTGTGCCAACACTGGTGATGAGCTTTGGCTCAAAGTAATGGGAAGGAAGTCTGAAAAAGCTGGAATGCTTCAATTTGATTGGGTTTTATATGCCATTTCTTGATTTTTGGTTTTAAGACTTAACTTACTTAATTTTTTAAAAAATGTAAAACTCCAAATGCAAGCAAAATTATTTTGGCTGAAACAAAATACTTCATTTCATCCAGGAAAAAAGAAAAACAAGTTTGATTTTCTTCAACGTTTAGTTCTGAGTTGATCTAAAATCTGTAATCTGTGACTCAGTTGTTCACACAGATCTTACTGAAAGTCTTAATTAACGCACATTCAGGCCCTTAGCTAAAAGACTTCATACGAGAGTGAATTATTGTTGCAGTACAACTTGATGATGAATCTTGAAAGTATCTAGCAAGTGTGCCAGGCCAGCGCTGCGCTGCCCAGAAATGATGCCAAATACAGAATTGCTGCGGCCTGTGGCTAGTTCCCAGTCCCGTGTGGCTCTCCCCCGGGAGCTCTGCAGAGGAAATCACTCCATCTGCACTCAAATTAACGCTCAGCCCTGGATTTCACACGTCCACGCGCTGCTTGCATGAGGGAGGCGGCGCTTTCCTGGTATCTGCCTGACGTGAGCTCCCCTGAACACACACGCTTGAGCCCAATCACAAGGCACATTTGTGCTTAACTTAAAAAAAAAAAAGAAAGCAAGAGAAACCCAGCCCATAGCCATCTCTTCCCTGTACGTGCCTGGCACACTGCGCCTGCTTAGCGGATTAGGCACTGGGAGGGGTCATGATGCACAACAAATCACAGTGAGGCGTAGCAACTATTCTCTGCTTTTTGGCCCTAGCTCAAAACCAGACCAAAAAAAAACCCCAAAACCCTAAAAAGAAGGCATTTATTTTCATGTCAGATGCCCTAATCGTAGGAAAGCTTCAATTTCATATTGGGCAAAATGCCCAAATGACTGAAATGCCTGAACTCCCCAACCTGTTCATGCAAGGGGCTGGGCTCCTCCACTTCTGGTCAACCTGCATCTCCACGGCAAATCTTTTGAAGGAGGCATGTGGCTAGAGCCAAAAGCCAAAGCAGAGCAATGACCAGCATTTCAGGGAGACAGGCTTTCCCCTCCTGGGCACCCATACTTGCCTGGGAGCAGAGCTGCACAGGCTCTGTGATGGGGAAGGGAAGTGAGGCATTGCCTTCAAGAGAGGTTGTGAGGAGAAGGCTGGTCAGTCTCTGATCGCAGAGGGCAGCTAGTGTCGCCAAGTCAGTTCTTTGCCTGAAATCAGGGAAATTAGTCACCCTAAAATTTCTCTGTGCCAATTTCCCAACTGGAAGTCGAACAGAAAGATCACAGAATCATAGAAACATAGAATTGTTTAGGTTGGAAAAGACCTTCAAGATCAAGTCCAACCATTACCCTAGCACTGCCAAGTCCACCACTAAACCATGTCCCTAGGCACCACATCTACATGTCTTTTAAATAACTCCAGGGATGGTGACTCAACCATTTCCCTGGGCAGCCTGTTACAATGTTTGATAACTCCTTCAGTGAAGAAATTTTTTCTAATATCCAATCTAAACCTCCCCTGGTGCAACTTGAGGCCATTTCCTCTTGTCCTATTGCTTGTTACTTGGGAGAAGAGACCGACCCCCACCTCACTACAACCTCCTTTCAGGTAGTTGTAGATAGGAATAAGGCTTCCCCTCAGCCTCCTTTTCTCCAGGCTAAACAACCCAGTTCCCTCAGCCGCTCCTCATAAGACTTGTGCTCCAGACCCCTCACCTACTTCATTGCCCTTCTCTTGGCATGCTCCAGCACCTCAATATCTTTCTTGTAGTGAGGGGTCCAAAAGTGAACACAGTATTCAAGGTGGGGCATCACAAGTGCCAAGTACAGGGGGACTATCAGTTCCCTAGTCCTGCTGTCCACACTATTCCTGATAAAAGATTAGCTTCTCATACTAGATCAGCTTCAGCTTTCAGGTTTGCTAATGTCTTTTCATCTAACTCCAACTAGCTGATCCTGCAGGAAACCTCTTGCCTCTCCTGTTTCACTTCTGAGCTATTGGCTTTAATTTACGGTGAGATTAAATTAGGACATGCTTTCTTACGCTCTTGGGCAAGGAGGTTAGGGCAGGAGGTTTAAGAGGGAGTGAATGTGTGGCGTTGGCCAAACCAAAGGTCAGAGTTCAGCCACTTTCCAAGAGCAGGTTACAGACATACTTAGAAAACAGGCACCGTGCTCCTCAGCTCCTGCATGTGCGACGTGTGTGTGGGCAGGGCTGAGGGGGCTGCTGAAACAAAAAAAAATCGTCACAGCCTAATTACCCGGCCCATATGCTCCCCTCCTGCGCTTGTGTAGGGGGAGCAAATTAGTGCAAGATCTCCATGGCTACAGTGGCACCACACGCCCAGGGCACGTGTCCCCCCTGTCTCCCCCACCACACCCCAAACTCTGCCATTGCCTGGGGAGGTCGCTCATCCCAGCTGCTAAAACACAGCCAGCCACATAGGGGGGGAACTGTCGACCCCGCTACTGAGTAAAGCCACCACCACAAAAAAAAAAAAGGTCATTTTGATATTCCCAAATACATTTACTGTCAGGAGGTTTTGTTCTGTAGGGTCCCTTGAAGTGTCAAGTCCTCCTCTTTTGGGCCCCTTTCTCTAACGTTAAGGAAATTTAATAACGCCAGGGATACCCCATGAATCAAAACCCTGCAGCCCTCTCCCTTCCTTGCCTCTCTCTACGGGGCCCAAAAGACCCCGTTTGGGTGTTTCTCCCCTGGCCCCATGTCACTGTTCAGACAAGGGGTGGTTTAAGCGGGAAGCAAAGATGGACATTTTTTTCCAAAGCGTGTTTCCCTGGCTGACAGCTTCAGCCATCTCTCCTCACCCCGGTGCTCAGGGCTATGGCAAGAAAGCCCCCGGGGCTGGCGTGCGGCCGAGCGACCACGGTGGGCGCCGGTGCTTGCGTGTCTGTCCGTGTGGCTCGTTAACCCGCTCTCAGTGGGGCTCTCGTTTTGGTTTGGCAGGTTTGACACCTGGCTTTCTTCTCGTTTAAAGCTGCCCCCCAGCAACCTACTCAGCTACTCGGGCAACTACACCGACGATGCCAAGAGCTGGCGGCTGGTCGACATCACCCGGCTGACCTCCAAGTACCAGCACGACCGGGCCGACAAGCGCATCTGCACCTCCCTGCTGAAGACGAAGACCTGCAGCCTGGAGCGCGCCCTGCGCCGCACACACCGCTTCCAGAAGTGGCTGCGGGCCAAACGCCTCACCCCCGACCTGGTCCAGGGCTGCAGCCCACAGCACACATCCTCATGCCCCACAGTGGTGGGGAGAGCACGGAGAGGGAGCCCCAGTGACATGACACCCACCTGGGTGCCATGTAGTTTGGGGTAGAGGGGTAAAAAAGGGTCCGAAGGAGACATGGTTGCGACTTGCTGGGTTGAGGGCGAGTTTGGGCAATGGCCGGCCCTGTCCTTCCTGCCCTGGCCTAGTGGAGAGGGGGCAGCCCTGTCCTCCTCCCTTCTGAGTCTACCCGCCATGAGAAAGAGGCAAAATGAGGCCCCAACGGGAAGAAGAGCGCCAGAGGCCCAGGGCCAACAGCCATTGGCAACGCCATGGAGCAGCCTGGCCAAGGCTGGGGCTCGGCCCTGGGATCGTGGGCACCAGCTCCCGGCTCCTCATGCAGGCTGGGGCTGAAGGCCTGTGGAAAGCCATAGGGATATTTCTGATGGGATTTTTTCCAGTTTTTCATCATGTCTCAATGGTTATTTTGGGGGGGTTTTTTTGGTCACAAAGTTGTACCCAATAGAGCAGCCCGTGCATTGACAAGTGATTTTGCTCTGGGCCAGGGAATGGGGCAACTCAGCTTGGGCCCCTCTGCTTGTGGCCGGCACGGGTGGTCAGAGGCTTGATTCCTCATCCACCTGCTGTCTATAGCAAGTGATCTCAGGCACAAAGAAGCATGCTGCCCTTTCTGTCACAGTCCTGGAGTGTCACAGGCAAAGGCAGGACAGGCACGCAGGCAGACAGGCGGCCATGGCGTGGGGAGAAGGATGTGCAGGCAGGGCCAGAGGAGCAGAGCAGGCAGGCTCTAGAGGAGAGATGGTGAGTGAGTGCTGCCCACACCAAGGGATGCCACAGGCAGCCAGGGACTGTCACCTGGCACACCAGTGGGTTTTGCAGCAGCTGGCTTGCACCTGAGAGCAAAAGTCCCCTCCCCAAACACACTCACATCCTCCCATGTCACCCAAACAGCAGCGAAGCATTGCCATATCCACTGGCAAGGGGCAGGGGCCAGGGTAGAGGCTGGATATACTCTTAACAAGACCCTGAGAGGCAAAGAAGGATTATTCCAGTACTTCACCCTCCTTCCAAGAGAGAAGTGGCTGTGAAAAAGGGACGACTTTTTTTTCTTTCAAGGCAACTGCTTCCTCCTGCCTGCATGCTGCCACATCCGTTCAGCTTTGCTGAGTGTTAAAGATATGATGCTTTAGTTTTTCTGCTTCTGTTACCCCATGAAGCCGCACACCTGAAGAGTGAAAGCGGGACACCCCATGCTGCAGCAGCAATAGAGCTGGGGCTGGTGCCTGAGCTGCTCTGAGAAGGACTCATTCTAGTCACGGACAGCCCCCCCATGGCATGTCACCCTGAAGCCAGCACCGTCCTGGGGGCTGAGGAGCAGGATGACACGTGCCAGACAGGGAAAAATTCTTTGGAGCAAAGCTACGCAGTACTTTGTCTAGTAACCTCAGGAGAGGGGGCAAATATGCATCACTTCCCTTCAGAGCATCCCTCACCTGAGCTGGTGGGCTGTTGGTAGGGACACCTCCCAGAGTGGCTGGCAGCAGCTTCCCAGGCACCCACTGGCCATTGCTTGTCCCCCAAGGCAGCATTGCAGGGGGCTGCGGGAGGGCAAGGCAGAGTGCCAGGCCCCCCGTAATTGCTGGAGTGTCCACGGAGTTTGTGCAGAGCCATGGTGCCCCCCCCAGCAGTGTTATGTGAAACAGAAGAAGTCAAGAGCTTAAATTTGCTAAGCTGAGTGAAAAAGTAACTGGGGAAATGTAGCTCCGCAGTATCTCAGATCTGCTACAAAGTTAAGGCATTAGCTGAGCCCAAATCCTTCTCCTCCCTACACTGTCCTCTCTGAAATTGAATCCCTGGCTAAGCTGGCTGGGTCACACACACATGCACACACATATGCATGCACACATGCATACACAGGCACACACACATGCATGTGCACACACACGTGCACAAGCAGCACCATGCAGAGCCTCTGGCTGGGGTGCCCTGGCCTCGCACCTATCCAGTTTCTCCCACGCGCTTGAATTTCCCCATGCAGCAGTGGGAAGCTGAGCTGACCCCAGCTCCAGGGCACCTCTGAAGCCAGCTCCAGGGGCCAGCCTGGGGGGACGCACCCGGGGACAAATACACTGGGACATTTCAGCAAACCCTGCAGTTTTTTAGCTGGTGAGGGCACAGGAGGCTGCAGGGAGGCACAGACCTTTACACGCCTGCCTCAGGATTGTGTCGCTCATGTTTTCATCGCTCTTTGGTTCTGTAAGTCAAGTGGGGAAACCTAAACTGGGATATAAATCTCTTCTAACAGCATATAGGTTTGAATATACAGAGAAGCATAGCAATACAGAGGCCCTGGGTACTAACTCCCCCCCACTCTAAATTTCGGCAGCAATCGCTATTTAAGATCAGGCATGTGCTCTGCAAAATGACTGCTGGTCTCACAGTGATGTGAACTGAAAAACAGCCTGCAGCAACAACATTTCAGTCATACAGTGTGTGTGAGTTTGTACACGAGGCCCCCAGCCCCGTTGTGTGGGCTACCACAGGTTACAGGGTGACCCCCCCAAGCCATCCATCCCCACAGATCCCCTTCCTCTCTGCCCACCCCACCCACCCCCTTCAGAGCCAGAAGTCGCAGGGGCGCCTCTGGCTGCCACCCAACCCAGTGCTGCTGCCCTTCTGCCATGTTTGCTGGGGGGATGCATGTTGGTAACCCGGCATGAGCCATGGGAGAGGGGTTTCTTGGGGGTACCATATGTCCCTGCAAATACTTACCTGCAGCACTGGCCTTATTTCCCCCACATCTTTTTGGAGGTGTTAACAGCACACCACTGTTAGTGCTCAACATGATGCTCACCCTGTTTCACAAACCCGCAGTCACTCAGCCGTGTCTGTACTTCCCTCCCCACAGTTCTGCAGCACCAAGAAAAGCTAATGGGCTCGGGTAATTTTGTCTTATAGAGCAGAAAATTACGACAAACTGTAACGCGCTTGAATCAAAATGACAGACCATGAAGTAATGTTTTTTTGCTTTACACTGCCTGCCCTGCCTGACCCAACTATCAGCCGAGCTGCCTGCCACAGTGATTATTTCACCTGCCACAATGAAAATCTTTATTGGACCCAGCAAAGTCTTCAGTGTTAAAATTCAACCTGCCTTGGAGATGAGCAGGATTTAGCTGGGGCTCAGCCTGCGTGGTAGCCCCAGCCACCTGCTGCTTCGCCCAGGAGCCCATCACCTCAAACAGTACCTCATGCATTTTCTGTTCGAGGGGAAGAACAACAAAAAGAGCGAGTTAGTTTCAGCACAGATCACCCACAGGGCAAATTTACAGCCCTGCCTACAAAGCACAGCCTGGAAAATGCTGGAGGCAGACAGACGAAAGCAGTACCAAGGTGAAAAGCCAGCCATTTTCAGCCTCTCTCTCTAGGACGTACTGTTTGAAACTATTGACCCCCACCTCTGCCAGCCCTCAGTGGATGTGCCGGCACCGTGGTTATGTGGCCAGTAGGCATCACTTTGCTCACAGCATATGGGCAGCAGCTCACTGGTCTGGCAGCCAGTCCATCTGAGGGAAGGGTGGGCTTTAGCAGGGTCCCAGAGCCACCTCCCAGACCTGCTTCCTCTTTGACCCTGCACCTCACCATCAGGGACATGCTTCGGTAAACCTGCTGGCACCACCTGCACCCAATCCCCCGCTGGAGGAGGATGATAGCAGCAGTGCCTGCAGTGGGGACGAGCCCCGAAGCTTCACAGGGTGACTTCAGTTTCTCTCTTTTGGGGGTGAACAAAACCCTTGGATTCAAACAGCCAGGAGCTGCAGGTGCTTTGACACCTACATCCAAATGTTTCCTCCTGGATCTCACCCCAAATTTGGTTGTTGGTGAAGCTGCACCCTGGCAGCGGTGTGTGGGGCAGGAGGTAGTGGTGCTCCTGAGCTGTGCCATCCCTCCTCAGGCTGGCTGAAGAGAAAGCGGAGTGAGGAAAAGCTGTTTTCCAGAAGTCATCTTTACGTCAGAGTGAAATCTGGGTGCTTCCGCACTAGATATGCACATATATGTATGCATGAGTGTTTAAAACACATCACATACTGGACAGTAGGTAAAAAGAAGTCACAGTTGAGTGTAGGTAGCCATTGCAGGAACTACTCATTATCAGATATAAAAATGTGGCAATTTAATCAAAGTAAATAAGAAGCTTTCCGTATCAATCACAAACAAGACATCAGGCTGCCTTCAAGTCACACTGCAAAGGACTTCAGAAATTCTCCAATAAATCAGTATCTCCAGTGTTCCAAGTGCTTGTTCATCAGATTTGTCTTCCGTCGACATTTTTTTGTCTGACAGTTGTACAACTTCAGCTCCTTTTCTGCTGTAGGGATGTTTCCATCGTTCACCCGGAAGGGGAGGCCCCGCTCTGCCAGAACGCTTGAGCAGGTGTTGAAGTATATGCATTTGAATAGCTCTGACCCCACTGCCCAGCTTTGGTAGATTGAGACTTCATTAAATCATAGGAAGCTGCACTGATGGTTGATATAAACATGTCAGCACCCAGCCCTGCTCCTCTGCTTCAGCACTGCCCCTGGTGTGCCTGCAATGGTTCCTTGGGAAACGAGCAGCCATGACCACCATGTGCAGCGCATGTCCATGTCTGTGTTAATAGGATGAGCTCTGACCGTGGAAAAAATCCTAATTGCAACTTTCATGCATTCTCTGCCACCATGATTTTTGTTCCTACTGTATACTCTTAAGGGTCTCAGCTTTTGCATTGCAACTCCTGGAGGCAGCAAGGCTTTCTAACTTTGGCTGCAAATATTTGCATACACGCTGAGCTGTAAGAGACTTTCTCCACAGTTTATCTCTTCTTTAAGGCAGCTCTGTTCTGCTCAGTTTTTCTCACTTCTCCTCCAAAGGGAAAGTGACAGAGTCAGCCACAATGTGCCTGCAAGTGCTGCGAGACAGAAACCCGTAGCCATCCCTTCCCCCTCCTTCTATGGTTTTAGATAATTACTTGAAAAAACATTTCCTTGATAAGGCTGCACCAGAAGAGATGGGTGTATGAAGACTTGTAACTAGAACTGGGGAGAATTATTTTTGACAAATGTTTTATTCTCTTGGGAAAAAAAATGGTGAAACAACACTCCAGTTAGGGTTGAGTTTTTCAAGTAGTTTTGACCAGCTATTGGCATTCAGGGCTTGTTTCATGCAACTGATGGCCAAGGAGGGAGCAGTTGGGACCTCACTGAGGATGGCAGGGAGGCAGAGGAGGGCACGTGGAAGGTCCGATCCCCCCTTTCCACTTCCAACTGCAAGAGCGGCACACTCTTCCTTTCCTCATTTCTTCATTTCTTCATCATGGCTGGGTAATTAAGTGTTATGCCAAATGAACAGCTCGCACAGGAAGGGTTGAGAGAGACCTACCTCAGAGTTACCAAATGACTTGAGGAGATCCTGAGTCAAATCTTTGCTCCCAGCATGAAGAATGGCAGGGAGCAATGTGAGCTCCACTGCCCTTTCCTCTGAAGCACATCTCCCAGCCATCGAATTAGAAAGAAAACCCAAAAGAGTAAATTTGGCTACTCAGATAATTTGGAAGAAAAAGACTTATCAAAAACCCAATTCCCTTCCCCAGCAGAGACATGGCAGGGCAGTGTTTCTGCATCACTATGGGCAACTCTCCATACATCCACTCTCCTTTGCTATTAAGGGTGACTGACTTCAAAAGAAAGGTCTTTTTTTGACTACGAACATATAAATTTCTATGTCATTTATCCCAGCCATAGATTGCTTGTTGCAATTTTACAAGCCAAACCTCCAAATCTGAAAGGTGAAATACAGTGATGATTGACTCCATTAGCCCAACATTTCTTTATTTGTTGCTGGTATTTACAAAAATTATGTACAGGCTATTAAAATTTGGGTTTGATAGTTAATGTGCAAACTGATTGGAGAGAGAATATATCCTGTGCTTGTATCCACATACAGTGTTTATTTACACTTTTAAGGCATATTTACTGACCTTAGCAAATAGTATTTCCAAGAAAGCCGCTCACAGGCTAAGCAAATAGCGAAGCAATCCGAAGACATTATTTAACGAGGGAAGTGACTCACCGGCTTAACGATGGGGAGGCCTCCACCAGTGAGCCAGGCTGCCAGGGCTGGAAGCTCGGGCAGAGAGACTATGCCTGCCAACATGGAGCAACCAGGTACCGCTCAGCCGTAGGGAAATGAGGTCCGCAGCATCCACACCTATGCCACGAAGACTGGGTGCTATTTTGGATACCTGAGTTGTGAACAGGCATTTTTGGATGGCGCATTTCTTTCCTAGGAAGGGTTTGCTGTAGAGTTCCCCCCGTGTGCCTGTACCCATCAGCAGCTGTGCCACAGGGGGCAGAGGTGCAGGGGGCAGAGCACAGAGATGCCTGTACCCCTAGCGTGGGCCAAGCACATTACGACATCTCAGTCTGGAAAATAAACATCTTTGTCATGTTTTCCCCTCTCGCCAGGGCCTGTCTAGCCCAATGTTGCGCTGCCCATCACAGCGTCTCCTGGACAGGATTGTGCGGCGCTATGCTGAGGTGCCAGATGCTGGCAGCATCTACATGGATCACCTCACCGACCGGGACAAACTGCGCCTGCTGTACACGCTGTCAGTGAATTCACACCCCATCTTGTTACAGGTACATACTCCCGCTCCTCAGCTTGAAATGCCACCCCACAGCCCCTTGCAAGCAAACCCTCGCGCAAGTTGCCTGCCGGCCCCCAGCTGCAGAGGAGTCCCAGCCCTGGCCTTTGGCAAGCTCCCTAGCCTTCATAAAGTATATTTCCTCTATGGGGTTGGATGTCTGAAGCCAGGCAGGCTCCTGCGGTGCTCCTTGCATCAGCCTGCGAAGTTGTGGCGAGATACGGATGCCCAGCCCCTTAAATAAATCAGAACCCAGACGGGTTATTGCGCTAGCACACTGTGAAAGCCAGGGTTTTACACGTCCTCAGTACTTCACAGTGTTATGTTTGCATTGCTAATATATTACTTAAAATCACAGCCTGTTTATAAAAGAGAAAGTGCATGCTTTAGTGTGGGAGGACCAAGATGTAGTGTTGAGGTTGAACATGGACTGGAGGAGCACTGATTTCCAGGCTCCATGTGCCAGCACTGATTTTTCTATTTGCATGCCACTGGTGAGTATCTCTGTGGCAAAGTGCAGCTTTGCAGAGGTGTTTGGTGGAATCCCAAGTACAACTGAGCTCTGACTTTGAAGGCAGAGAGCTGGGAGGCCTCACATATCTCTCCCGGTCCCCCGCTGACACACCTGGCAAGTGGCTCTTCTCTTTCCTAACACATATCTCCTAGGGAGTATCCTCACCCTTACCCACCACCACCCCACCTTTAGTCCTCATTGCTGTTTCTTTCAACCCTTCAAGATTCATAGAATCATAGAATGGTTTAGGTTGGAAAGGACCTTGAAGATCATCGAGTTTCAACCCCCCTGCCATAGGCAGGGACACCTCCCACTAGTCCAGGTTGCCCAAGGCCACGTCCAGCCTGGCCTTGAACACCTCCAGGGAGGTGTTTCTTCCACAAAGAAGAGAGGCAGCGGCAGTACCTGTCTCCTGCCCCAGGCCACCGCTGCCCTCAGCAGCTCACAGGGCTCTGCCCGGTCCCAGGGAAGGTGAATGGTGCTCTGGGAATCTCCTGCAGGTCTTTCAGCCAGCCCGGCCACAGCTCTCTGGGGCACGAGGCTGCAGCTCTCAGCACTGTAAAGATAGGGGAATGCAGCTTGCAGGGGTGAGAAAAATATGCCGAAGAGAAATGACTTGATTTTACGTGGATGCTGAAATGCCTTCACAACAGAAGGGACAAGCAACCTTAAATGTGAAACTGGACGAGTTCATAGCCCCCACCTCAGCCGGGCCTAAGGGTGCTGGGGAGACAGAAAAGTTATAAAGCAAACGGCAGAACATTTCGTGTTGGTGCAGCTCAGCAGTCATGCGGTTTGGTTTCTACCTGGGATAACCGCCCTGCTAGCACAAGCTGCAGTGATGCAGGGAGCCCAGCCCAGGTGTCCCCACTGTAACACACACCCAGCACTTCTGTCCCTGAGACTGCAAAGTCTCTTACGAAACAGCCAGGCAGTTCTTCCAAATTAATGAAAACCCACCTCACTGTGATTTCAGCTATGCAGCGCTCATGAGGGATCCATCAAAAGATCCATAAAGACACCTAAAATTAGCTCTTCTGCACCTAAAATTTTCATGAATTTGAAATCTATTATTGTATTGGACTTTCCAGTTAGTATCCCTCATGGAATAGGTCTTGAAATATCTGATTCTTCTTCCCTAATTAAAAAAAGAAGGAAAAAAAAAGCAGCATAGCTACTCCAGGATGGAGCAGCACCATCCCTGGCTGCTGGGGCAGGCTGGGGTGAGGAAGGGTGGCGGGCTGCTTTAGAAAGCAAAAGACGATACCAGCATTGATGCTTGAAGCCAGCCAGGGCACTTGAAAGTCCTCTGGGAGGGAGGTGGGTCCACGGGCAGAGCGCAGTGGCCAGAGGGCAGGAGCGATCTCCCCATTTCCACTCTCCCCGGCAGATCTTCCCCGACGTGGAGGGATGGCCCTTCCCGCGGTACCTGGGCCCCTGTGGGTGGCTGGTGGTCAGTGCCAGCACCCGGCCCCTGCGCGACTTCTACGGGGCAGCCCCCGAGGTGGCCGCCGACCTGGCCCTCCAGCTCCTCGCTGTCCTCCGCTCCATGGGCACCAATGACCTCAACTATTTCTTCTACTTCACCCACGTGGACGCTGGCACCTTCGGTGTGTTTAGCAATGGGCATCTGTTCATCCGGGATGCCAGCACGCTGGGAATCATCGACAAGGAGGAAGGTACTCAGCAGGCTCTGGGGCTGCGCATCTGTTGCAGGAGGGCTTAGCGAGACAGGGGAAACAAATCTTTCACCTGCTACACTCGGCTCTGCTGCTTATTTTTTTTTTAACCAACCAAACGTTACTTGCTAAATTAAATAATGAAAAGTTCACAGAGAGATTTGCCGACAGCAAAAGCATCAGCAGCTCCTGTCACCCTGGTTCGGAGCTGGGAAGACAACAGGAGGATTTTTGTGTGGTCAGTGGTTTGCTGATAGATTGTGGGTGCTTACATCCTGCCCGGCCCCCTCGGGGGCTGGCAGCAGCATTCAGCATGCACAGTGCTGAACGCTTTCATCTGAAGTCCTCCTAAATCACCCCTTTTAAAACTTTTGCCACACAAATGTCAATATTTGCAAGTAGAATTTTCATAACTTCATTTGTTTTAAGTGTTGGGTCAAATCAGACTCTTTTTGGGTGCATTTGCCACAGTAACAAATCATCATCATTATTACAAAAACAAAATCCCCCTTTTGTCGTTTTTGCATAAAATCAAGGGTTACTATTCACTTTTCACAGGTTACATTAGTCTGCTCCTGGAAGTAGAGCTAGTCAAAGACCATTTCTCCAATAATTTAACAATTTCATTTTGAATGTTCAAATTTTCAAAAGGCCTTTGCTCAGCTCACACATTCAGCTGAATAGATCTCAAATATTCAGAAGCAGCTGTCAGAGAATTTTCCACTGGGTTTCTTTTTCTTGTCCCAACAGCTATTACTGTTGACTTGACTCCAGCTAGATGAGCTGTTGGTGCAATTTAATGATTTGGGGTAACATGGAAAAATTATGGGTTTGGCTATTTGCGGTAGTTTTTGTAGGAACTCCGTGGTATAGGTTAGTACTCCAGTTCTAATTTTTTCTTCTAATTTTTTTCTGCACCAGTTTGACTTGACAGGCTCCTCTCCAATTCCTGTGTCAGGCTGTTCTGCAGAGCTCTGTCATTCAGAAAAATATATATTTCAGGAGTGAGAAAATTGGCCTATAGACAGCTACAGCACAGAGTACTTTGTGGTGAGACAGCAGTATCCTTTAGATAGTAACAAACCTCACATTAATACAGAGGTACAGACATATGTGATTATCCAAGATTTCACTCCCGTGCTTCTAACAAGTGGTTTAATTGTCTCTAATAGGGAGCCAGCTGATTGACGGCCAACAGGAGTATAAAGATATATTTAGCTGTTTGACTGTGGACTGCCAGTCTGCATTTGTGTCCTGTAACTCCATCAGAGAGAAGCACAGCCTCGTCATGGTGTGTCAAGAGCTTTTGCCTAAGCTCCTGAAGGGGAAATTCCTGCAACCCGTGCAGGAGAAAATAGACAGCTTCCTGCAGCACTGCACCGATGGCCTTGCCGATGACCAGGGTGTCAATGAGGCAGTTGCAGAGCTGGCAGAGATCCTGAAGCCTCTGCGGTCATGTGATTCCCGTTTTGCCTACCGCTACCCTGACTGCAAATACAGTGACAAATACTGACGGCTTTGGAGAAGGAGTCTCCTGGAAAGGACTGGGGCAGTGTCAGCCCCCTGCCAGCACGGCAAACAAGGAGGAACCAGGGTAGCTGGAGAGATGCACCATATCTGGGGCCTCCTGGACAAGGGAGCAGAGAGCACATAGGATTTATTGTTCATCTCCCAGAGACGCATTTGTTACACGGGATGTTAGACGTGATGTAAGGCTTATGGATTATTAGCATTATCGTGAGTGACAGGGGCTACAGGATTAATAAATCTTATTCACGTATTTTGGCTTTGGAAGGGTTTTCCATGACGTCCGTTAAAAAGAAACTGTCTGAATGCTGCACACTCACAACTAGCTAGACAGCGAACCTTAACTACCAAGAATGTCTTTCTGATCAAGGTGATATATACATAATGTGAGATGGATGGAAGCATTTAAGACTTGCCTTGTGGGGATTTTTAAATCATAGATAAACTGAATCACCAGATCAGTTCTGTACCATCAGCCATCACAGGTCACTTTTATAAAATATTCAACTGTTATTACTTTTATGGTACACAGAACAGAAAGATGCAATCAACAGCATTAAGAAACTGAAAGGCCCCATGTCTCTTGAGACTTAATTTTTCTAATCCCCAAGTACAATTACTTTTAGTCTTTCCCAAGTTGATGGGCAGTAATTGGAGACTAATAAATCTTGTTTTAAAATCAGAAAAACCCCCAACTCTGGGATGCGATTGTCAAGTAGATAGTTTCACACTTTTCTTTCCAAAGAAAACTGAAGGAACCATTTGCACAAAACCATTTAAATGGGAAAATTACCTTAAGAGGATGAACAACACAGGCAGAGGATGAGAGATTAGTTTACCCTGAGCTTGACAAGACTTGCTGAACACTCAATACTCCAGCATAGGTACTGGGGTACCCTCAAAGAGCTGGGGATGTCTAAGTCCTGACGAGCAAGAGGTACAGCCATCCTCATCCATTTGCTTTTCAAAGGAGGAATCAGTAAGTCAGTCACCAAAGGAGTGACACAGGCACTTAATATTTGGGGTGGTGGACTCTTTTTTCACAGCAGTGGCCAACCCAGGGCTAGACACAGGTGTCTCATTTTCTGGGCAGAGTTGTGAACCACAACTTTCTCACTCAGCACCTGTCAGTCACCTGTCCTGTGTGCTCCTCGTGGGGCATCAGAGGCCCACACCAAACCTTCCCAGATGTCTAGGGGACTGCCAGACCTCACCTGGGTTTGAGGCTTTCTCCTGGGATCCAGGTGCGTGGAGTCACCAAGAAAATTTGACTGAGCTGAGTCAGAAACCAGACTCTGGATCCCCCGTATGTATTTTCATCACGGAAACAGTCTTCCTTTAGCCATGGTTCAAAAAAGAAATCAGTAACACCATAAAAGCAGAAAAAGATGTGAGCGCATTTGCATTGCTAATTGTTGTACGGAGTAGGAATGCAAATAAAGATTTTGTGTTGGCTGTGGAGGGGCTCTGTGCGTGCAGAGCACCCTGCCTGGGGTTTGAGGCAGGTGTCGCAGACAGATTAGGCATCCAAAACCACACACAGGTCTGACACCGGGAAAATCTGACCCAGGACATTTATTTTGTCTTCCCTGCTGGCATAAAGTACCCAGTGCACCTTTCACCTCTCAAGAAGTAGAAACATTGAAAATAACTTGTAGGTAAATTTAGCTCCAGGCCCATATGGTCCAACAGCAAAAATGTTTAAATATACAGCCTAAGCTATGGCTGCAGCTCTCTTTCTCGATTTCAATCTATTTCTACCTCATGGCTCTCTTCCAATAAGAAAAACATGTCCTTCGCCGAGATCCATAAGGCTGACTAACAATCTGTTTTCAACAGTTTTTCTTGAATCTGTCTGCATCTCCGATCTCTCGGTCTGTGATTTTACCTGATAGCTGGGCATTAGCCCTGGGCCCCTTCCCCTCTAGCGAGTCCTCCCCCTCGATGCCAGAGGCTGGCCTCCTTGTGCAGGACAGGAGGAGCTCCCGCTTCACCACCACTCTTGCTAGGGTCAGCGGTCAGGTGCTGCCCACCCTGGGCTGCAAGCTGCCAGTATCCTCTCGGTGCTGGAGGACAGCCTTCTTCATGAAGTTGTAACTAAAAACACACTCTGCAAAATGCCCAAAAAGCGCCAAGATGAAGAACTGGCTTGGTCTGCCCGTGCCCCAGCAGAGATGATCAGCAAGCCGTGGTCTGCAGAGAGGTCTTCGCAGCTGCCCCGTGACTCAGGCTGGCCTCTGATTCAGCGTTCTTTCGTTTAACAATGGCTTGACTTGCACTGGAAGGGGGAGCAGCCCTTGCAGCAGGGCTCCACAGTGGGTTCACTCCTCTCCCCTGTGTCCTGGGCATTTTTCTTTTCACCACACACTTTTTCCTTTTCATAGAATCATAGAATACCAGGTTGAAAGGGACCTCAAGGCTCATCTCATCCAACCTTTCTTGGCAAAAGCACAGTCTAGACAAGATGGCTCATCACCCTGTCCCACTGAATCTTAAAAGTGTCCAGTGATGGGAAACTCACTACTTCCCTGGGGAGATTATTCCAATGGCTGACTGTTCTCATTGTGAAAAATTTTTCTCTTGTGTCCAACCAGAATCTTCCCAGGAGTAACTTGTACCCATTACCCCTCATCTTTTCCATGTGACTCCTTGTAAAAAGGGAGTCTCCATCTTCTTTGTAACCAGCCTTTTAATACTGGAACATGGCAATAAGGTCTCCCCTACACCTTCTTTTCTCATGGCTGAACAAACCCAATTCTCTCAGCCTTTCCTCATACAGCCAGCTTCCCAGTCCTTTGAGCATCTTTGTGGCCCTTCTCTGGACCCTCTCCAGCCTGTCCACATCTTTTTTGTATATTTTCTTCTGGAAATGAGCCCTTCATCTACTGTACGGCTCTATGCAAAATGTCTCCTGGGCAGGAGAGCATCTCTCTGCTATCAAACCAGCCCAGGGAAATGCAGAGGGGATGCATGTGCTCAGCACCTTAGAGAATGGCAGGAGCAAGCCCAGATCTCTCAGGTCCAATCCATCATTGGGCAAAGGACAGAGAGGTGTCATGCAGCCTTCAGCTGGGCCCTGATAACTCATGATCCTAAAATGTCAGGTGTAAGAAATGGAAGAGTCAGTTGGCAAGACTGCAGCAGAAGTCTTGAGGCACGTGGCATCTATTTTTACATGGCTTGATTCAAAGTTGTTGAAGTTGAGAGGAATCTCCCCAGTGCTTTCAATAGACTGATATAAATTAAAAAAAAAAAAAAAAGATTAAAAATAACAGAATTGTGGATTTAAAAATTATTAAAGCATTGGGAGCTGTGTTCATCACTAGTTTCTCTTCAGACATCGATTGCAAAGGCCAGGCTCATGTAAGACCGTGACTAATATGCCAGCCATAAAATCAGTCCATGGCTCAGAGAACAATAATTTTCCTAAACT